CTGAATACTTCATATGCAAATATTCCATCAATTGTCCTTCACATTCTCTATGATCTTTACAACTAACAATTTCTTTCTACTTCTCTTAATGTTTTCTCCAGGTTGACCTTCATAGCCTTCTACTACCAGAGTTTCCACTTCTTATTGATATTACATACTACTTATGTTGACAGATATAAGTAGCATAAACCACAGTGGTAATTTTCATCTTCCAAACTAATTTCAACATTTAAATGTGTAATTTAACACAAAAGTAAACATTGAATATTGAAATTGTACCTTTGATAATATCATAATGACAAGTACAGTTCATAATTTAATGTGAATAAAAGTGTGAGAGAATTGATAGTACTACTACTACTACTACTACTACTACTACTACTACTACTACTACTACTACTACTACTACTACTACTACTACTACTACTACTACTACTACTACTACTACTACTACCACTACTACTACTACCACTACTACTACTACTACTACTACTACTACTACTACTACCACTGATAATAAAGGTGAATGAGTGAATGAAGAAAGGATTATGAAATGAAAGATAATAGTGTGTGAACTTTTCCAAATGTTATACATGACATAATGAATTAATCTTAGTTAGATAACTGTTAAAAACTAGGAGGTATTTAAGAATTGCTTTGTCCTAGTATAGGACTTCTTAACAGTACATATACCCACTACCACAAGACCTTTACATCTTACAGTTGGCTCGTAATCGTTATAAATCATCAAACGTTTACATATCTAACTTTAAACCAACTGTTATATTATGCAATCGTTTTTCAATGTCCCTGGTGGGTAACAGCCTCACACTAGATGTGGTTGAACTCCATAGGTTACGAGTTCGAACTAGAATCTCAGGAGTCACCTGTAGAAAGTAGTCAATAGTGAGCACATAATTATTGATCATGTAAGAGTTGTGTATAGATTATTGAGTTTTATATTTCATATCACTAAATACAATCATTGGATATAAACTTATTGACGTTGAAATTGAACAATTACTGTGAAACTTGAAGGTCATAGGTTCGGTCTTCAGAGTATATGCATTGATAGTTAGTCTCTTACTGAGATGAAACAGCTATTCATTGCTTCTTGGCTATCAAACTAAGATAAATCAATGATATAAACCATGAAATCCAATAATTATCGTATACTTTATAACTCTTATTTAAGTTGTAAATAACCTGTAGATGTTATATGATCTCTACCACACACCATACTCTCATAATGGTTCATGATAAATCACTCTGATAAAGCAGCTTATAAAAAGTTCATTATAAGTAATGAATCTTTACAATGAGAATTCGGTGAGACTATAATTTATGGATGACCTTTGAAAGACGTCAAACTGACCTTGAGAGTATCAATCTAATACTTACTTACTTACGCATGTTACCCTTAGTGAAGAAGCATATGCCGCCCACCAGCATTATCCATCTAACTCTGTCCTGGACAATCTTTTACAGTTCTTTAAAGTTCTTATTCATTCTTTTCATATCTGCTTCCATTTTCCGGCGTAATGTGTTCTTTGAGCTTCCTCTTTTCTGTTTCCCTTCAGGATTCCAAGTTATGGCTTGCTTTGTCATGTATTTTGGTGATTTCTATAATCTATGTCCTATCCACTTTCAACATGTCTTCCCAATTTCCTCCTCAGCTGGAGCTGGTTTGTCCTTTCCCATAAAGAGCTGTTACTGATGGTATCTGGTCAGTGAATGTAGATTATTTTGCGTAAACAACTGTTTATAATTACTTGTACCTTCTTGACGACGGTTGTAGTATTTCTTCATGTTTCAGCTCCCTAAAGTAGAATAAACTTTCTTGACGTTCGTATTGAAGATTCTCACTTTGAAATTAGTTGACAGTTGTTTTGAGTCCCATATGTTCTTCAATTGTAGGGATTCGGTCCTTGCTTTACCAATCCTCGCCTTTACATCCGTATCACATCCTCCTTCTTCATCAATGATGCTTCCCAGGTACCTGAAAGATTCCACATCTTCCAGAGTTTCGCCACCAAGTGTGATTGGCTTGGGGTTCTCCGTGTTGTACTTAATTATCTTGCTTTTTTGTGTAAGTTGAGATCTATTGATGCAGAGGCTGCAGCTACATTTGTTGTTTTCATCTGTATTTGTTAGTGGGTATGAGAGAGGAGGGCTAGGTCATCTGCGAAGTTCAAATCATCTGATTAATTCTGAGGTGTCCATTGTATTTCGTGCTTCCCCTCAGATGTCGAAGTCTTTATAATCCAGTCAATCATCAGAAGAAAGACGGAAGGGGAGAATAGACAGTCTTGTCTGACTGCAGTCCTTAATGGAAATGCATCTGTCATATGTCCTTCATGCATCACTTTGCACTGTATGAGTTCTGGATAATGATGACAATGTTTTCAATAACTCTATAGTGTCGAAGAAGTTTCCATAATGTTCTCCTGTCCACACTGTCAATCCCCTTCTCATAGTCAACAAAGTTTATGTATAGTGACGAATTCCACTCAACTGATTGTTCCACGTTTATCTGTAGTGTCGCAATTCGGTCTGTACACGATCGATCCCTACGGAATCCAGCCTATTGATCTCAAAATCAGACGTCTACTGCGTCTTTCATCCGATTCAGCAGAACTCTGTTGAAAACTTTTCCTGACACTGACAACAGTATGATGCCTCTGTAATTCTCACATCTACTCAGATCTCCTTTCTTTGGTATCTTGATGAGGTATCCTTTTTTCCAATCCATTGGCACTTCTTCCTCTTCTTAAATCTTCTTGAATAGAAGGTGAAGCACGTTTTCAGTTACTTCAATGCTTCATCTGGCATATTGTCAGGTCTTCCTGCTTTCCCATTCTTGATTAGTCTGATAGCCATGTCAATTTGTTCGATCGTTGGTGGCGTGACATTTATAGGAAGATTTATGTGTTCTGCTTTGATAACTAATACTAAAAAAGACTTACCAACCAGTGTGAGGATATAGAATTATGAATTACAATTGATACCTGATTGATTTGTCCATAAATGATAGTCTCCTTAAGAATCCTTTTCTTTCTTCAAAATCTAATCTCTTCTTATTCTCATCAACTTATCTTCTTCGATAGTCTGATTATGATGAAAACTATCAAGATAATATTGGACATAAATTAATGTATCATATTCACTTGGCAATGAATGATAGTTACCATTACCTAGAGACAAGAGCACGTACACACACACACACACAGACATATACACACATACATACATACATACATACATATACAAGTATCCTTCTAATGTAACTTTAACATATGAAATCAATTACAGGTGTTTATTTTACAGTACTTATACATTTCTCTTTGTATCTATGCCTATTGTATAGTGTTGGTTGAATCTTATCCGGGTTTTTTTGTTGTTGATAATATTACATCTCTATATTACTATTACTACTTTTATTGATTAACTATCAGCTGAGATGATGATTCCTTTCGCTTTTTTTTTCTTTTTTTTTTGTTCTTTCTTTCTTTCATGTATCATTCTTTAAAGGGAAAACAACATAGAAACAAACCTGATAAAGGGAGAGAGAGGAAAACTTATCAATAACTATGAAATGTATGTTCATCCTTAAAATTTAATGAATATAAACTAGATTGAATTGAATTAGGAAAATCATGTAAATTTAGTATATTCCATAGCAGTAGCCTCAGCTGATTGGTGGCACATGCTCCTTCACAAAGGGTAACAGACGTAAATAAGTAAGTAGCCTCAGCAGCAGTGGGTCTTAATGTGTACAAAAGGAAAAACAAGATTCTTCGATACAACACAGCATGTATCAATAAAATCACACTTGACGAAGAAGCTTTGGAGGATGTATAAATGTTTACATATCTGGGAAGTATCATTGATGAATACGGTGGATCTGGTGTAGATGTTGAAATGCAGATCAGCAAAGCAAGTGCAGTAAATCTACAACATCTTGAACTAAAAAAAACATCTGACAACCAACACCAAAGTCAGAATTTTCAATACAAATAAAAGTTAAGACAGTTCCACTGTATGGGAAGGAAACTTGGAGAACTACGAAGGCCATCATTCAGAAGATACAGGTGCTTATAAACGGTTATCTACGCAAAATACTTCGGATCTGTTGACCAGACACTAACAGTAATAACCTACTATGGGAGAGAACAATCCAGATTCCAGTAGAGGAAAAAGCGTTGGAAGTGAATAGGATATACATTTAGGAAAGCACTCAACTGCATCACAAGGTAAGCGCTTACATGAAATCCTGAAGGCCAAAGTAGAAGAGTAAGATCAAAGAACGCATAATGCCTTGAAATGCAGACAGACATGAGAAGAATGAACAATGATTGGATAAAACTAGAAAAGAAGGTCCAGGACGGTTGATCATACGTGATAACCTACGGGATATATCTATCTCTAGCTCAAATATCGCTCGATAAATCATTCATTTACTTATGTATAACATGGTATTCGAATCCTATTATTAGCTTTAGCCTTGCCTAGCTGCACTTTGATTCGCCTCTGTATTTGCTCACTCACACACGCGCACACACACACACATTTACCTCTCTGCTTCAAATTCGCTCTATGTGCTTATAGATTTGTTATCCGGGCTATTCACTAATAAACTGTAGTCGACACTTCCTATTATCGTTTGAAATCAAACACTGTTTATGAAGATTTTTCATTAGATAATGCATAATACTTACTTACTTACGCCTGTTACCCCTCGTACAGGAGCATAGGCAGCCCACTAGCATTCTCCATCCAACCCTGTCCTGAGCCTTCCTTTCCAGTTCTTTCCAGTTAACATTCATCCTTTTCATATCTGCTTCTATTTCTCAGCGTAATGTGTTCTTTGACCTTCCACTTTTCCACTTCCCTTCCGGATTCCAAGTTAGCTCTTGCCTCGTGATGCAGTTTGGTGATTTCCTTAATGTACTAATAATACTATCCACTTCCAAAATCTTTTCCTAATTTCTTCTTCAGCTGGAAGCTGATTTGTCCTCTCCCATAATGCATAATACATGTAGTATATAAATACATAATGAATATGTGTGTAAATTTTTTTGATGACGAAGTCATTGAAAATCAGACAGAACTAAGACCGTATTTTGTTTGAAGTAATTGCTTTAGGCAACACTTATCTATCAACGCTTAAACGATACAACTTGGTTAACTTCGTGTTCCTTAATGAGAAGTGTGTGTTTAGGTCATCCAGTTGAAATCTGATGGTCTATATCATTAGCTTCAGTTTATCTACGTTATAATGTCATCATCATCATCATCATCATCATCATCATCATCATCATCATCATCATCATCATCATCATCATCATCATCATCATCATCATCATCATCATCATCATCATCATCATCATCATCATCATCATCATCATCATCATCATCATCATCATCATCATCATCATCCAAATCATCATCATCATCATCATCATCCAAATCATCATCATCATCATCATCCAAATCATCATCATCATCATCCAAATCATCATCATCATCCAAATCATCATCATCCAAATCATCATCATCATCATCATCATCATCATCATCATCATCATCATCCAAATCATCATCATCATCATCATCATCATCATCATCATCATCATCATCATCATCATCATCATCCAAATCATCATCATCATCATCATCATCATCATCATCATCATCATCATCATCATCATCATCATCATCATCATCATCATCATCATCATCATCCAAATCATCATCATCATCCAAATCATCATCATCATCCAAATCATCATCCAAATCATCATCATCATCATCATCATCATCATCATCATCATCATCATCATCATCATCATCATCATCATCATCATCATCATCATCATCATCCAAATCATCATCATCATCATCATCATCATCATCATCATCATCCAAATCATCATCATCATCATCCAAATCATCATCATCATCCAAATCATCATCATCATCATCCAAATCATCATCATCATCATCATCATCCAAATCATCATCATCATCCAAATCATCATCATCATCCAAATCATCATCATCATCATCATCCAAATCATCATCATCATCATCATCATCATCATCATCATCATCATCTAATGCTATCATTGTGATCACACTTCTTTTCGATAGAGTTTCGAAAATTTTTCACAAAACTTTTAATTTATGATAATCATCCAACTGACGAGTCTCAGACAGGACGAAACACTTGTTATGAATTCTACTATTAACTATTAATCATAATATAATGTCTAAATTTTAGTCTAAACTAATAAATTGATAATATGAAATGAGAATAATGAACAATAACTGGATAGAACTAGGAAGAAAAGACCAGGACAAAGTGGGTTGAAGAATGTTGGTTAGCGGTCTATGCTCCATTGGGGGGGTGTGTGTAACAGGCGTGGGTAAGTTAGTAAGCAAAGTAAGTCACTTACTAAATCTATTAGTAATACACCGAATTATTGAACTAGAAATTGTATAGTTATGATATTTAATTAGATCATCTATATATAGATATATACTGTACAATTCTCATTGTTTATTTGTGATACAATGGAATGTACTAAACTTATTAGAAGTGAAAGAATTTAATGAATTAAACTATGTGAATATCAGTTAGTTATTATAAGTATGGGTAGTTTTGTAGATATTGTAATAATCTTTGATAGTTGATTTGATGAATTGATGTAAGTTAGATGATCATGTGAAATTTGGAAATACTAGATGGCTATTTCGTCCTAGTATGAGGACTTGTCAGCAGTGTGTACCCACGATCTTGTATGCTAGACTCGAACCTAAGTTATTTAATCTCATGTATAGAATTGTGAATGTGCATTATTAAGTTGTCCTATACTAGGATGAAACGATCGTGAAGTTTCTATATTTCAAGATTCTTTTATTTCTGTCGTTATTAAGATTACTTTCTATTTCTCTTTTTTGTTTGTTTCGATTGAATTTTCTCAATATTCTATTAGAAGAAATTTCATTTCCGATTGATGTTATGTACTACTTATATCTGTGAACATAATTAGCATATACCAAACTTGACGTCTTTTCATGTAGTAAGTCATACCGAAGACTTTCATCGATAAGAATAAAACATGAAAAGACCGTTTGCTTCAAACACTATCGCCTTATATACGAAGTGAACGGTATTGAATTTGAATAACTAAGTGAACGTCAATTCTAGGATACAGATACATCCAGCTGACGAGTTTCAAAATCAATAAAATATTTTGTCATTATGTTTATGGTGTTTGTATGAATTACCGATTCCTTTATACTTGATAACTGATTGATTTCAAATTTCATATTCAATATATTCGTTCGTGTTCATCTAATACTTCTTAAGTAAATTGCTTTATTTCTGAATTTCCAAACGTGTATTATAATTTAACTACTCCTAATCATCACAATGTTCTATTTGTGTTATTTGATTGTAAGTAACCTGAAAGACGTAATTGATTAGATCTAATA